CGGCCGTTCAAAGTAAGGCTGCGAGCGGCGTGGGAGCGATGGATGACCGACGGAGACCACAGTTTCACGTAAAGTGGAAGGCAGCGCCGGGCAAGTTACGCCACAGTTAGCGGATGGATTCTAGATGCTTGGACTAACGTGTCTGCTGGGACTGTTGTTCGAGCTTTCACAAAAGCTGACATCATTTCCGAGGAGCCGCACGGCACGGAAAGTGACTGACAGCGAAGAAGGGGAAATTGGCATGTCTGATTTAGCGGAGCTGTTTAATTCAGAAACAGAGGATGACGACTTTGATTAATACTTTGTAATAAATACATGAATAAAACACAAATATACTCAGTTTTGCTCCCGCTCTATTTCTAAATACGCAGTAGAGGTATTTAAACGTAGTAGAGGACATGTACCGGTATATTAAACCCGCGCCCTATAGTACGGTGCGCCTTGTGTGTTAAATACAGTAATGGCACACATAACTTAGACTGCGCCTTTTAGTACGGTGCGCCTTATGGTCGTGAAATTACGGTAACTGGTAAGAAAAAAAGAGCTATTGCAACATTTAATCTCCCTTTTGGAGTAATAAAGCGTTGTTAAATCAAACGTATCTCACTTTACTACAGCAGTTTGAAGGACCCGATTCTGATCTTTTCACCGGAGCAGTAAACCCATTTTGAGCTACTTTCATACGTAGTACTTAGCTGCATACGTATCCAATAAAGCTGAATGTGTCTGCAGGAGAAATAAACGGTGAACAGATAGTTGGGTTGTTGTTTTTTTTAAGCCAGATACCAATAAGATGCATCTTTCTATCTCTAGTATAATTTAACCTATCAGGTTTTTTTTGGGGACGAATTCTTTAAGCTGATATTCTTTTTTTGCTTCATTTACATGACAAAAACAACAAATTAAAGCAAACAGTAACCAATGGTGGCAAACAGAGAGAGCAGCAGCCTTACTTGGTCTCAAAGCATGGCTGCTGAATGCACCAGTGAACCAGGGGAACGGATGGACGCACCTGCCTATTAACCAAACAGTTCCTCAGAGCAAAGACACTGCCTCCCTTTCATCCCTTGAATACTTCATGCTTCACAAAAGAGCTGAGCCGAGCAGCAATCTGAGCATGGATGCAACCCAAAGAACAGCATCAGATAAACTGATTCATATTCTCTGATGTTTGCTCACCTTCGTTGATTTTTGCCATATCTACGCTGGCGTTGTTGAGCTGCAGAGCCGTCTGAAGTGCTGGGAGGAGCTGGCGAAGCAGATTGGGGTCCTGAAGGATTGGAGGGGTTGGTGACTGAAGGACCGGGGAGACAGGCACGGTGGAGGCGGATGATCCTGGCGGCCCCGATGAAGGGTTCAAGCTCCCCGCAGCCGAGGAGGAGGACTGGGACTGGCTGGGAAGAGTCGCTGTGGGCTTCTCCACCGGAGTCGACTCTGTGGTCAAAGAAAGGAGAGAAGCTGCAGCCTTAAACGTGTTGCACTTAAAGAGCATCAAATTTTAGTTTAAGCAGCCAGAAGTGTGCAAACATCTTTTAGGAGCAAAGGGGGAACCTTTTTCCTGTTTAAAAAACCTTAGTAGAAGTTCAGCAGCTACTCAATCACATTAGCAAACATGTAAATTGAACCTGACTGACTTTATTTGAAGAATTTTACACTGAAATGAAGGTTTATGATGCATAAAAATCATACTGTACAGAAACATGGAGACATTTTAAACTCCAATTGTTATATTCTTCAACAACAAACACCACAAAATGTATAATCTTTAATGATACTAGAGTTAAAATCATTGGAGGTTTATGGAAGGTTTGCAATGACAATCAGGGTCAAAACCAAAACTCATAGCTAAAACCAACTCTAAACTAAACTTCATGTGCAAAAGGAAATATTTTCACTCCATATTTATATTTTTAACTATGCAAATTAGTAATATGGATTCAATGATATAAAAGTTTTGTAGAATAATTTGCATAGGAATGATGAGTATTCCTAACAATGACCAGAAGCTTTGCCGTCTTCCAGTCAGGCTCACCACAGTAGAGTGGATCGCTCAAGTCGTACGCATCATAGCGCAGCATTTTACGCTGCTTATTACTCAGTTTCATTTCAGAAAACTGTGGAAGCCTTTCTGATACAGCAGATAAATGCTTTAAATCCTACTTGAAGCACAGTGACTTGCTTGTGTCAGTATGCAACTTTACATCAGATAACACAGAAATCACACGTGGGGTGCCCCATGGGGCCATGCTAGGACTCCTCCTTAATATCCACAGCAGGCATGTCCAAAGTCAGTCCTCGATGGCTGTCGTCCTGCAGGTTTTAGAGGTTTCATTGTTTCAGCACGGCTCATTTCCACTGATGACTGATTAACAGGCTTTTGCTGAACTGCAGTCATCAGAATCAGCCGTGTTAAACCCGTGAGACAGTGAAAACTCACGAAAAAAAGATAACAGCCCTTGAGTACTGACTTTGAACATGCATGATCTACATGCTTCCTCTGACTCAGGTCTTAACAGACACAATAAATCTCTTGTTCACAGGTGTCCACAGATGCACATGAATTCTAAAACCTAAGCTGCAGCTACAGACCTCTGAACCTTTATATAGATGTGTATTTGATACTTGTTTGTGTTGTTGCTAGTGTGTTTTGTTTTTCGCTGTTGTGGTTCTACTCTGTTTTTTCCACTCTCATTTCATGCAGGTACTGATGCCAACTTCTGGGATCTAAATATAACCATATCTTAACTAGGGATGGAACGGTTTATGAAAACCGTCCGAACCGTTCGGTTCGACATGCGCTGCTCCTTTTTCTCATAGGCAAAGCGTGAACTATCCAGAGCAGAAGATGGCGGTACTGCGACCAAAGCCAACCACCAGTAGTAAACAAGAAAGTAAACCAGAAGAAGACGCGAAGCAGCGT